GAGAACTGTGCTCTAACTGGACCCATGATCTGATGGATTATAGTGTAGAGCCCTATACTTCTCACAGATTATTTATTTATTTATTTGGAGTATTTCTAGCCCATCTAATCACTTTCGCGTCTGGACAGCTCACAGGTTCCTCATCTATAACAGCTGATGGCACGCAGGAGCTGTCCAGGGTTTCATGGTCTTTCCCAGCTCTCCTCCTTGACCTCTTTTAACTGGATGTGCTGGGAGAAGTACCTGGTGCCCTGAGCATGCAAACCATGTGGCCTTCCACGGAAGAGATGTCTTTCTGGAGATGGCTCTTGGACATTTTGGGGTCAGAACTGGTTGATCAGAGGCTGTGGAGGGGTTGCTTCATTCCAACAAAATTGGAGTCTACCTGACCCATACAGGTATAGAACACAGCTTGTCACATCTCTGTAGCTTCACCATCCTACAGAAGGGTGTGACCTGTTCCTTGAGGATGTGCAACGTGGATTGTTTGATTTGGCAGCTAGGTGAGTTCATTCCAATCTCAGTTGGCTTCCTCTTGTTGTGTGTAATGCAGAAATCCAGGTGGACAAATGGGCTACCATGGGGAACACACTGAGGCACCTGAATGTCCCCCTCTGGTCCCTTTCTGTCCTATGTCCCATTACACTCTGTCTCAAAAGGATGGAGGTGGACAGCAGACCTTGTGCCCCTTAGGAATCTAGCCTACCCTTCTCCAGAGCCAGCTGAAGCTGGGGTCAGACTAGATGGCCCAGGAGGACCCTTCTGACTCTTGCTGTTTCTCTGTTTCTCCACCTGGTGCCCTCCAGTTGCTTTTGACTTCAGCACCCATCAGCCCCAGCCAGCATGCCAATGGTCAGCAATCCTGGAAGATATATTCCAAAACATCTGGACAGTGCCAGATTGGAGAAGCCTGTTCTGGCCCATGGATCATTGACCAGTGAGGATAAACTAAAGCAGTTGAGGTACCCCTTGGTCCATATTCATGTTTGCTCAGTCTGATGTTCTTCATGTTGGGGGAAGTGACCTGAAGAAGCAGAATTAAAGGGTCCCACATATATTGGTGGGTTGGTTCCTAGTGCAGAATCTTGTAGCAAGTAAGAAGTTGCAACTCTTTAATCCAATGTCAGTGCCTTGCGTCTTTCCTCCTAGGTGCCATCTGTGCATCTAGTGAAAGGGAAATGGAGAAAAAATTGAACCAGTGGGAAAACAAGAGCCCCTGGGGATTAATGCATTTTAATTATTATTCATGCCAAACCAGCCATCTTTGGATGAAGGCCTCTAAGGCTTTAACGCTATGTTGGTGGTGCTCATTAAACCCCAGAGGTGAAGTCATTCTGTGCAGAGTAGGAGGAGAGGCAGAGGCAATCTGGTTCTGCATGGACCAGAAGCTTTCTTCCCCATCCAGCATGGATGGAGAAGGAAAGGGGGCTTGAGCAGCATCAGGGTAGATCACATCCCCCTCTCTGTATCCCATAAAACACCCTTTCATCTCACTCTCACCCTCTTCTTGAGCTAACTGGGAGGGGGCAAAGGAAGGAGCTGATCTTTGATTCCCGGCCCTTGAGATGGGAACACTGTTTTGGACCTCAGACTTGAGACATGGAGCTATCCTGTGACCCCTGGAGGAAGGGAAAATCCAGTGTTTGGATTGCTCCCTAATAGTATTACCATACTTGGCATTTTGCAATGTTGACATTTATCTTATCTCAATAATAAGCAATGATTCACTGTAGCATTGCATTCATACATTCTAAACAATTGTGCTTCAGCAGGCAGCCTGTTCAATGGTCTTGGCCATTTTTTAAAGCTAAGCAGAGCTTTCACATCTCCGATGGCACAGATATATAGAAACATGAACAGCTGGAAACAGATATAAAACAGTTGCTGGATCTTCCTGCATCTTCCAAGTTCTGCTCCAGCTGCATGGCTTAGAAGAGAATTTGGGAAGACTTCCACCAATGGCACAGGCTTAAACCACTGTCTGTGTCCCATTCACTCAGGACTTTGGCAACCATGGAGCAGAGGCTCTCCAAATCGTATTTAGCTTTCCAACTTAGCAACCAGAACCGAGCAAGCAAAAGTTGGCTTTGATTTTTTTCCCAAAGTGAAATTAAATTGTTTGGCTAGAAGAGACATAATAAAAGGTTTATTAAATCATGAGCAGTGTGGATACAGAGGAGAAGGAAAATTGTTCACTTTATCCAATAGATAGATAGATAGATAGATAGATAGATAGATAGATAAATAAATCTCAGGATCAGCTGAAGAAATTAACAGGCATTGGGCTTAAGGCCAACAAGGAGGTTCTTGTGTTGAACTGTGAACAATGCATTCAGGTTACAGATGGGGACACAGATGTGTAATGTCCAACACACCCCTATTTTGTGTAACGTGGTGTGGATGACAATGTGATTGTCCACTGTGTTGAAACCCCACCAACTGTTTTTCAGGGTGAATACATTTTGTTGCTATCCGATATATTTGGATCATGTGCAGATTATGGCTGTACTGAATGTTTTAACCACTGACCAAACAGAGATTTCAGAGCATAATGTAGTTCCTGAAAATCCCTTTTTTATTGAGAGTATTAGCCTGTTTTCAAAGTTTAAAATGCTGTTTTGGCACCATCTTTTATTTGCTAGGGCTTCATTCTCCTTTGGACATTGGCTCCAGCCAATCAGGGATCATGCATGGTATGTGGCAGGGAATGCGGGGAACTGTAGGACTTTTTTCCTGTTTAATCATGCATAGGATTGCATCCTAAGAAGATTTAGCTACGTGCCAACATCACTAAAGACAAATGAAGCCGATCTGAATAAAAGCCGTACTTGCTGCACTGGTCATATGGTTGATCCTAGCCAATCAGGAACACAGTATCATTGATGCTAATTGTTTAGGAAAATGTTGTTTGATTAGATGATCATTTCCATACCATTAACATCAATAACTAATAAATGATCAGGCACTGAACTAGGTGACAGTATAACTTCTGCCTTGTGAGCCTTTCTTGGGTTGCTGTCTGATGTAAACTGATGTGATCCAGCTTTACTGTTATTGATTGTTGCCTAAGTAACTTCATATGATCATGGTAGAGTTTGCAGAGTGTGTAAGACACACAAGTGAGTGAGTAAGAAAGGAAGATAATAGCCAGGACTTGAAGAACTATTCTGCTAGCTCCATGTTCCAAAGAGTGCTTCAGATGGATGTTTCTCAAACCGCAGCCAAAGGGATCATGGAAAGATACATCAGGGAAAGAGTTTCAAAATAACATACAGAACATACAGAATGTAGGGATGAGATACAGAATGTGTGGGTGCATATGCATGCGCTCATGTACAATATTTGGTAACTAATGTTAAAAACTCATCATATGGTGCATGCGCAAGCCCTCATTTATCTATCTATCTATCTATCTATCTATCTATCTATCTATCTATCTATGCATGCTGTGGCCCTTCTAATTGCTTTTATAGATGTTTAATTCATTACATTTTAATTGTTTAAATGTGGTTTACTCTGTTAATGTCTTTTATGCATTGTAAGCCACCTAGGAAGGCCTCGGCAAGTATAAATACATGCAAATAAATAAATATTTACCCAAATTTAACCAGTGTTCTCTAGTAGATTATAAAAAAGTTAAAAGGATGAAATGCCATACAAGGAGTCAAACATATAACATGCACTATAGTTGTTGTTTTTTTAAGAACTACAACACACCACACAGCTAAGAATAGATAAAACAGGCACAGTGTCCAGAACTAGGTCTTTAAAATGCCTGGGGGAAAAGAAAGATGATTGCCTTGCATCCAACGATCACTGTGCCAGTGTCAGCTGAATCTCTTTGGGGAGCGCATTCCATAGGTGAGAAGGACCTCTCTCTTGCAGCCACCCACCTAGCTTCTTGGACTGGGGAACCTGCATGAGGTCTTCAGATTACATGGAGATTCCAGGGAATTATGTATGTGAAGAGGTATTCCTTCAGATACTCCAGTCTGAAGCCGTTCAGAGCTTAGAGCTTCAGTGGAAACACTGAACTGGGCTGAGAATACAGCTGATGAAGAGCTGGCTTCATCGGATCCTATCAGCCAATCCCAGGGACCAAGCAGTTCTGTTTTGGACTATCAAGTTTCTGAACCATCTGCAAAGGCAATCCCACATGCAAGACACAGCAGTGCTGTCACAGCAGCTGAGTCAAGTGAGGTACTGAGAGCAGTCTGGATGTTACCAGAGCATGATGTTACCCCAGCTTATCTCTGTCTAGATAGCATTGAAACTGCATGATGTTACCCTAAGCTTATAAAAAGTGCTCCTGGCCACTGAGGACACCCTAAGCCTTATATGACATCACTGAATGTCCCCAAGCAGGGGACTGTGGCCTTCTTCAGGAATGGTTGAATGCCAGTCAGGCAGGCAGATGGACCATCTCTGTCTTCTGTGGATCAAGCTTCAGTGTGTTGGCTTGCACCCAGTCCACTAACCTGCTCAGGCACCAGTTCAGGACAACTACTCCCTCATCTGGGTTATATGACTCGAGTGCAATGGAGGAACCTCCTAGTGAGTACAGTTGAGCCCTGGTAAGTACCTATGATCAGGTATATTTGGGGACAATGAGGGTGGCTAAGAAACCACATTTCACTGCCTCCATCCATTTTTCCACTTGCCACCTAGCAGAACTCTTTAGGGTCATTCGGGGCCTATTCCATGCTGGGCTTAAGGACATCTTAGACCCACCTGAGACCTGCTGTAATACAGGTCACTTCCAGAATAAAATGCCTCGCATCCCCCAGGACTTGGACTCCAATCTTATAGCAGTTGAGTCAAGTGAAGTGCTAAGTACACAGTTTGGTCCACTATTATTGGATGAGTTTCAGTTGGTTCAGCATGAAGATGTTGGCAAGGTGCTTGGGCAGGTTCATACCCACATGTCGATACTGGCCCCTTGGCCGGCTTGCTTTCTCAAAGCTAGCAGGGAAGGAACAGCTACAGCTGGTTGGCTCTCAATGCCCCCCATGCTACGGAAAGAGGTGGTGAGGCAACTCCTGACGAAACCCTCTGTAGATCCAGAAGATCTAAATAATGTCAAGCTGGTGGCAAATGCCCCCTTCCTGGGCAAGGTCCCTGAGTGGGTGCTGGCTAGCCAGCTCCAGACACTCTTGGATGAGACTGGTTATCTGGATCCATTTCAGTCAGGGTTCATCCTGGGTTTTAACAGAGAAATGGCTTTGGTCATCCTATATGATAACCTGTGTTGGGAAAGAGGCAGGGGGATTATGACTCTGTTGATACTCCAGGATATCTCAGTGGCTTTGATTTCATCAACCATGGCACCCTTCTGGGTGACTGACTGAGTTGGGAGTGAGTACAACTCTGTTGTAGTTGGCCTGCTCCTACTTGGACACCCATCTCCAGAAGGGGGTGCCTGGGGAATATTGGTCAGCCCCATGGAGCCTCCAACAGGGGGTTCTTAGGGGTTGGTCTTATCCTGTATGCCATTGAACATCTGCGTAAAACTGCTGAGTGGGATTAACCGGGGTTTTGGAGTGCTTTGCCATCAGTATGCTGATGACGAGCAGTTCTATTTCTCCTTTACATCTTCAGCAGCTGAGGCTGTGGAGGTATCAAATCAGTGCCTGGTTGCAGTGATAGATTGGGTGAGGGCTAACACACTGGACCTTGATCCAGAGAAGACTGAGAAACTGTTGGTGGTTCTTTTGACTAGACGGAGATGGCTCAAGTTGTTCTGCATGGTATGCTGGCTTCATGGTTTGGGGTGCTCCTTGACCCATTTTTGTCAGGTGAGGCTCAGGTGGTTTCTACCAGCTTGGGAATGTCTTCCACCAGCTTTGGTTGCTGGCTTGGACCTGCCTGGACAGGGATAGCCTGGCTTCAGTAATCTATGCCCTGCTAATCTCTTAACTAGACTACTGAAATGGACTGGCATTATGGGCAGGTTTTAGCAGTTCAACTGGAAAAATGTTGTTTAAATATGCTTTAAATTTTAATTTAATCATTACATTTTATTTTATATTGCATTTAATCATATTTATTATTGTTCACTGCATAGGCAGTGTTGGCTCTTTGGCAATATCGAAATAGAATAATTACTTATTACGAATTAAAGTTTTCATTTAAATACAGAATTTGAAATGCATTTTCTCTTAAAACATAATTTCTAATTATATTTTCTTGCAGGATATGTCAATTAAAAGTTCTCAGTAGGGTGCTGCTTTGTTTTACATTCTGCTTTCCGGTCTGTCTGTCCTTCCTTCCTTCCTTCCTCCCTTCCTTTTGGAGCCAAACTGCATTTGGAACATTTGGAAAGTGTGGAGAATGAAAAATAGCTAAATTCTGTTCTGCACATTAATCTGAAAAGAGTGGAATAGGACAATTCATATTGAAATTCACAAAGATTGAATTCCTCAGTATCCCTATCTGTAAGAAGTACAAGAATAATTGGGGTCACACGCAGAGATTAGCTTTTGTATTAAGTCAGCAGTGTGGAGAAGGGAAAATGGAAAGGGGGCTTCTGTTTTGGCTGAAGAAAAGAAAACCGCTGGGGAGCCATTTGTGGCTAACTGGTCCAGTTTGAGGAGGAGAATCTCTCTGCATAAATATTTTTCTAATATGAAAATGCCATGCAAGCCATGCCCAAAAACTAAAAAAATAAAATAAAAAATATAGCAATTTCCCAATAAAGCATCAATTTATTTACAAAATGATTGAAACCTCCACTTAGATTGTGGACAAGGGATACAGAAAAGGGCAATTCTATTAGTGCTTGCAAGTTTGCTTTAGATCATTTGTAATGACATTTGGCCCAGGGGAAAGCAGCGAACTTGCTTTACATACTGATCCCTTGATCTGTATTATGTCTATTGCACTGTGCAAAATGATGGTTCGCCCTATCTGCCATTCTTTCTCCATTAACATTTCAAATGATGCTTGTTCCCCAAAGACAAGGAAATGTCACAGAACAAAGAGAGAGTGAGCCGATTGAAATGCACGGCAATGAAGGAGAATGGAAGAAGCAGGGAAGGAAATATAAGGGAAATTAAGATCTCAGCAGGGCAAACTTGCGAGAAAATGGAGGCACGCCACAAAGGACGGCACTGGCTTCTTCAAGCATTTGGACCACCATGTCATAAATTCGTTTTTAGAATGTTCTGCAGATATGTTACATTGATATCATATGACATACACACCCCACTGCAGAACTCAGCATGTAGGAATGAATCAGGCAAATTGCATCCTAGTGAGATATAAATCTGCTCACATTTAGCTGAATCATGTGCCTTTGTAGACCAGGGGCAGAATCCAGCAGAGAACTGCCAATTCCTTTCTGCAAGAAGTGGGTCCAGCTGATTCCACTGCCCAAGGTGGACCCACAGCTTGTGGGAAGCAGATTTAATGCTTCCTAGATGATGCTCCAACATGAGCAAAAACGCTAACTCCTGGAAGAAGGCAGGTCAGCAGAGTTCCTATCCGAGCCCTGCCAACCTATTTCCTTCCAGGAATAGTGAAATCCAATTGTGGAAGGAGGGCATTAGAGAATAGGTGGGGCTGTAAGCTCCCTGTTGAATTCCGCTTTATGCACCTTCTATCAGAGATCCATACTCATTCATAAAAAAAATGCTATTTGCCAATATCAGAAAATTTTCGAAAGGATGTGCCATACTGTTGCCCTGACATATGTAATACAAAGCATCAAAACCTGAAGCATGATAGTTGTATTTAGTCAAAACATGTTTGTAGCATGAATACTAAAGAATATATTCAGGAATATTGTCCAAATTCAATAATTTCATGCACACACGCCCCAATAAAAACAGCCACCTGATTCAATTAAAATATGGAATTTGGCAGGTCTTGCCTTGCAAATTTATCAACAAGAAACATGATTTTTTAACATTCAGGATGTACATCACTGAGAAACTAGACCTGCTTGTACCTCGTGGACGTTTCAGCACCTCTCCAACTTGAGAGCTGAAAGGGCTTTTATTGGCTTTTGTTTTATTTTTTAATGGCTTCTGCTTTTAAAGCAGGGCATGATTTGTGTTTTACTTTTTTAAAAAGCCAGGGGAATTCTGACTACAATTTGCACAATTTGCATAAATTTGGGATGGAAATTGTGCGAATTGCAGTTGGAATTTATGCAAAATATGCAATCCAGCTTCTAACAGTACACAAATTGCAGCCTGCTTTAAAAGGAGGTCTCTCCTGGTTCGACATACATCAGAGTGAGTAAATGCTAGTGCTGGTTTGATGGCTGGAAACCGGGAGCCCAAGCCAGACCTATCAGCCAGCTTCCTTCCATATCCCTATTTAAAGTATCCTTCAAAAACAAAACTGTTTGTTGAAATGTCAAAATGCTATTCACAGAAACGGTGCTAACAGCACTCTAAGCAAATGATTGAATTCTCCAACAATTCAGGCAGCGTTATCACCGTTGCTTTCCAGCAGCAGTTGAACATTTGACATCACCACCAATCCAGTTCTTCCTTTGATTAGCATCAGGCTGCCACCTCTTTGTCTGCTAGCAACTGTGTCTCAACTTTTCCCACCAATTAACAACCTCTCTTTCGCAGTCTTTTTAGAACACACAGCATGTGGTGTTCTGATTTTCCTATATCTTATTTGAAAACCAGTGTTTAAATAATGATTAACATTCACAGGAAAATATCATTAAGTGATACAGTGATACACATAAGGATGAATGAATTATAAATATTGAGCTATCAGAACCACCTTCACAATTGCTTTTGCAATCTAAACCTGGGGCAAGACACCTGTGATAATATCATGGTATTAAATAATAGATTTGCTTCAAGATGTGCTCTTGCAGCTCTTAGAAAATTGGGAAGAAGGCCTTTTGGTTTGTTTTGGTGGGGGTGGGTTTCCATGTGGTTTCACAGAAATTCCAGTGGGTGAGCAGCTGGATCCAAGGACACACACACCAGGAATGTGTGGGGAATCTGTTTTGGAGGTGAGAATCTGCTGGTTTCCCTAGGCTTGGCTCCCCAGCCTGCTTCCTCAAACCTTGTGCACCTTCCTGGCAAGTATGGTGACTGTTTGCAGGGGTTCCACCTTTGAACCTTGAGCAAGCAGAGTCCCTCTTCTGTGTACATGGTGCATGGTCTTTGTTTTTCCTGCACATGCTATGGAAAAAGGTTGCTGGTTGCTCAGCCAGAGTTCCATGAGCATTCATGGACTTCCTCTTGACTTGACTCACTTCCTAAGCAAAGACTGAGAATGAGAAGAACCCTGATGAATGGCAGAAGAGTACCAGATTCTGGGGAGGATCGTCAGAACCCTAATGCACATGCCCACACACTTTCAGTGATCTCAAAGCTCACTGTGTGAAGGCACCGCACAGGCCACTGCAGGCGGCGCTCTGGGGGGCCCTCGCCTGCCCCCGATGGGCCCTGCCTGGCACCCGCGTGCACAGTGCCCAGCCCAGTGGCCGCTGCTGGAGCTGTGGCGATCCCCTCGCCGGCAGCGGCTCGCCCGCACCCTGCTTCTGCCCAGCCTGCCGTGCCCTGCAGCCCCTGGAGCCCCGCCAGGACCTCTTCCGCCTCATAGGATGTGACTGCACCTTCTGTGTGGACGTGACTCTCCTCCAGCAGTGCTTCCGGACTTTGCAGCGCTTGCTGCACCCCGATTACTTCAGCCGGCGGCCCCAGAGAGAGCAAGATTTTTCGGAGCAGCACTCCTCCCTGGTCAACAAGGCCTACCAGACGTTGCTGAACCCCTTAAGCCGCAGGCTGTACCTGCTGGAATTGAATGAAGTAGAGCTGGAAGAAGGAACAGACACTGAGGCAGATCCAGAATTTCTCTTGGAAATCATGGAGAAGAATGAGAAACTGTCAGAAGTGCACAATGATGCTAAAATAGAAGAGATAGAAAATGGCATTGCAGCAAAACAAGCAGAGCTGATTGCGAGTGTGAGCGGAGCCTTTGAGAAAGATGACCTTCAAGAAGCCAAAAAACTTTTAGCCAAAATGAAGTATTTTGCAAAACTTGAAGAAAAAGTGAAGAAGAGGAGAATCCCTTCATGACCCTCCATACTCAATTGCGATGAATTTTTTCCTGTTTTAATTTTACCCTATTTGTTCAGGCAACTCCGAGTCCTATTTGGAATGGAGTTGACATGATGCAGAAGAGACCAGATCCTCTCTCTGTTCCTTAGACCAGGCCAAGCAGTCAGTCAGTCCTGTGTTATACCCACAATTAAAACTATTGCATGGCTCAAACTCCATAACAATAGGAAATTGGAACCTAAGACTGATACTTTAACTGAAATACCCCAAAATCAGTGTGATAACTTAGTGAAATGCCACACACTGTATCTGCTTCCAAGTAACATTCTGTGGACCCACTCTTTTCTTTAGCCTTGCAGGGGCAAATCCAGATGGGGAGGGTGGGATACCAAATGGGACTAGCAAAGATGTCCCATGTTCTCCTGGTTCTGTATTGTCCATCAAAGTTCCTGAGCTTTGCTCTATTAGAGCGATCCTAGATTGAGTTTACCCATTAGAGCGATCCTAGATTGAGTTTACCCATGGCTCTTCTCATTCTCTCATGGAATGAGTGGCCAGTTCTCCGAGCCAGATGTTGCCTGCAGCCTTGGAGTTCATCAGAGTTAGGACATGGCTCCATCAAATCCACTACAGTTCACATGGCTGGACAGAGGCTCTTGCTCTCCAAGGCTGCAGACAGAGGGGTTTCCCCAGTCCTGGTAGAGATACCGAAGTTTGAACCCAGAGCTTTCTACAAGAAAGTGCTCTGCTATTGAGCTTCAGCCCTTACCGGAATTACTTTTGAAATGCTCAAGCAATGTGAATTCTAGCTCTGGAATCCCATTTTAAAGTCTCTAATAAAAGGTGAATTCATTTATCCTTATTTAATGCAACTTAATTTAACTTATTGAATTAGTCAGGCAAAACCAGGCTTTAACCCCTGCTGTGCAAGCAAGTCTTGTGCCATAACAGCCAAGGTGGCATCCTATGTATAGCACGTTTAACAAAACAAGAGCACCAGGATAGGGAAGCTGAAGGGGTTATTGCTATGGCCTATTGGCTTCTAGTCCACAAGATGTATAAGTGATCCTCTCCAAGATCCATTCCATCTGTGCTCTGAAAAACATTCTTGGCTGCTTTATTTGGGCACATCAGTAGCAATATATGGAGAGGTGGTCTCTTCCCTCCTTCATTCTTTGTTCAAACTTAAGATAATCCTTTGCAGTGCAGTTCTTTTAGTGGAACTCAACAGATTGGAACTCAACCCTATGAACTCTAAATAGCCTTCTGCCAAAGTTGAGGGAGAAGCTTCTGCCCATGTGAAGAGTAGAATCCAAATGGGAAACTTCCCCTAACCCCTTTCCTCTGTCAGTCTTCTGACTCCACCCTCAGGGTGGCTCTTGCAGGAATGGCGGGAATGGTGAGGTCCCTCCAGCCGAGCAGCTCATTTCTTCCTGATGGCTTCTCACTGGGGCAAGGCCTGGGTCTCGCCTACGCTCCCCCTCCCCTCCTGAAAGCCACCCGTCCCAAAGCAGGCCAATTCTCAGTGCCTGCCTGAGAAACTTCACAAGGAAACCTTGAAACGTCCAAGTCTTCTCCCTGCACTTGTTCCTCCACCTCCTCCTCAGAATCCATCAGAACAGTCCACAAGGAGCAAGGGATGGGCCCACTCTCTAGGCCGTGGGGTTGGGAATGTGCCACCCAGTCACGTGGGCCTCATGACGTGACCCCGGCAGGAAGTGGAATCTGTTTAAGATATGGTAGGCACCAACTCCAGGAGGTAATTAGGCTATGTGAGTCTCCTCATCACCAAAGAACTGTGGGAAATTTGTCACTTTCATCCCATAGCTATGTAGCACCAAGGAGGACAAAAATGGGAACTGCACTTTTTATGGACTGTTCAAGGTTATCATAGAAACAGGGTGAGTCAGAAGGGGCATCCTGGGCCGTCTAGCCTGACCTCTGGCTCCAGCTGGCTCCGCTCATGACTTGCCTTCTAGGTGCATGTCCAGCCTGTCCTTGAACACCCTCACCAATGGGGCTTCAACCACCTCCTGTGGAAGCCAATTCCATACCCTCAGGGTCCTAACCATCAGGAAGTACTTCCTGGCATCCAAACTGGACCTTGGTTCCCTGAGCTTTGAGTATAAAACTGTCATTTAGTTTTATACTGTCACTTCAAGGAAGCTGTTCTATCATTAACTAAATTAGTTTTCCTTAAAAAAATATCACCTGCCAATACTCTCTTTCCCTCCTTGTGAGTTAATTCTCCTAGAATGGCACAGAAGACAGAACTTGGACCAGCCACTTTGCTGAACACAGTGGCTTAACACACTCCTCAGAGGACAGCTAACTTCTGGAGACTTTCCCTCCCTCTTCCTCTCAGCAATTTTACTTCGGCTTCTCCTGAAGTCTTCTGTCTGGTCAGCTGCTACTCCCAGGTCAGGACACAGCCAGAAGAGTGCCACCACCGCCTGCCTGGGAGGCTTCCTGCTTCATGAGAGCAACTGGACTCCCAGCTCTGGACTCAGCCGCTCTTGCATCTTTTGCCTTCCGTGATTTCAGCTACGCTTTTCTCTCTTCTCCTTCGCCTGCTAACCACCAAACCATATTTCTTCCACTGACACTTGACAGTTTGGAACGGCTCTTTAATACCGTGTCAGTTGGGGCCCTCTGACCAATGACCTTCTTTTCCTCAATATTTGCCAGCTCATTGGCCTATAGGTATAAGCCCATGAGAGCCAATAAAAATTTGCAAATGCCCCATCAGAACGCGACCTTTTGAAGTCTCCTGTATAATGTATAAGCTGGCAGATCTAACAGTGAACTACGAGGGGGCATAAAAGCATCTACAGTAAAATCAGGAACAACTTTACTAGCCTTTGGCCAACCGCCAGCAGCCAGCCTGTCACAGGGTACCCAGCCTCGAAAGAAACCTTCTCAGCCCTCCCAGCCCTCCCAATCATAACAAGATGACATTGCAGAACACACTTATTGATGAATTGTACAGAACATTTTAAGCAAGGATTGTTAGTTTCTCTGCATAATGGACTCCATTTTGGGCTTTGCAAATCTGGGAAGTGCATGAAAGGGACCCGGGAAATCCTGGCAGAGGCAGCAAAGGCGAGAAAAGTTGGCTTGATAGATGTGGTGCTGGTAAAAAGGGATTAAAGGTGCAGGATAGTCAGTGTATGAGGGATTTGATTTGAGGGTGGGAATCCATCAGATTTTCTCAGCTGAGCTCCCCAGATTCTTGCCTGATTTCTCTTTGCCCTAAGTCTGACTTGAGCCAAGCATTTCTACAGGCATTTCTGGTGGGAAGTGAGCTCAATTCTTGACCAGGTAGAACTAGTGAGGCCGGCTTTTGCACACGCTGCCTGCTACCCACACACTTGCGATGCAAATGGAGTTTTGCATCTGTACGTGTGACTTGCAGGCTTTGCTTCGTTTGTGCAGTAAATGAATAAATAAGCACAAAGAAGGGGCTCGCAGGCTTCCTGCTCCAGGACCGAGCATGGGAAAGCACTAAGAAGGTGGGTTCTTGCTGCATCTTCACATCCCTAGTGTGAGATACCAGGAATGCTACATGGAAGCTCTAGCTTTCTAGTCCTCAAGGTGAGCCAGGCCATGCAAGTGCACCTTGGGACTGTCTGATACAGCATTCTGTGTGCTTACCAAAGGTAGGCCAAGAGGCAGTGACTTCAAATGGTACGCTTTCAGTTATCAGTTCAGGTTAGGATCTCAATTAGTTCTACATGCCAAAGAGGCTTTAGTTTTATTTTACTTCTACCCTAAATCATGTGGCAGGTCTATTTGGAACCAAGGAGTTTACAGTAGGGGTGCTGTGCAAAGAAAAGAAAAAAAATCAAGTTCAGTGGGAATACGCAAATCTTTGTGCATAACTTCAACAGTATTTTGGATCCCAGCACAGAATACCTTTCTAATGCAAAAACAGCTTATCAAAGGAAGAAACTGCTAGGTAAGATGTACAGAAGAGCATTTGGCTAAACCAATGTTTTAGATTTAAGGAGCCTTGCTTAACTGGGGGAATTGCACTATTATCAGCAACCCTCCTGCTATTGTGACAGCCAATCTACTGCTTTACATGCTGTTGAACAGAGCACCATAAGAATACAAATCTCTGCCCCAAAGAGCTTACAGTATAAATGTGGATCAGGTGGAAGCAATAGAGGCAATCAGGAAAGAAAGGGAGAAACAAGGGTAATGAGAAGATTGTGCACACATGCAGTTGCAAGTTCTGTTTGACCCTACTCACACTGGCTTCCCAAAATGACACAATCCTAGTCTGTTCTTACTGTGGAATAAGAATAATGGCATTGCTTGGATACTAAATGCTCTGGCGGCAGGCACCTCCCAGGACTTCACTCGTGTGATGCTCCCACAGTTGGAAGGGAGAGGGGAGCAATGTCTTCCTCTTTCCTTCCCCCCTACAGCTCCTTCCACTCCTGAAAATCTATTCCAGAGGGCAGAGTGGGAACCTGGGAGCAGAGCAGAACAAAAGTTAGCAAAGATAATTTCCCATTGTTCCTCTGGTGGAATTTTTTTCTTACATAACAGGCAAAAGGAGCTCCTTTGGTTGCAGAAGAGATCTCAGGATCCAACCCACCAATTCCGACTGAGCAAACACCAGCCTAATCTTCTTTACTATTAGACAGAGAGTTTGAGTTGGTTCCATGCCAAAAGATACAAACACAATCTCTTCCCTAGCTCTGGCCCACAAACTATTAGGGAAAGCCAACTTGGAGAATTTTTTTCCCACCCTCATCAAATTTGGAGATACAGAATATATTCTATTAAGGGAATCACACCGAAGCCAAAATGACTTCCGAAAAGCTAATTACATGTCTAGGCACAACAAATGAAAGTTCTTTTTGTTTTAAATACTAAGCTGGAGAGCATTTCCTCACAGAAATAAAAGAAGCTTTCTGATATCGATTTCAAATGAGCGCTGCAGGTTTCAGTTGTCTGTGGGTTTTATTGATTGATGAAAAGCCATAGTTGTTTTGCCCTGAAAGACAAGCTCTGTGCTAGCATCAGATATAAACTAGGAGGAAAAACTAACACTATGTTTCTCTCTCATCAGATATGGTACACACACACACAGGAAAGGGGGGAGGGAGGGAGAGAGAGAAGAGGCTGCATATATATTTTGCCTGCACG